TTTGACACTAGCTTTTGATTGAGATGTTAAAAGTAAAGGTCTAGTATAAATGTGATCTTCTTTGTTAAGAATAGTTTTCAAAAACCCTGTGTCGAACTGAGTTAGCAAATATCAAGTAAGTTTATATGTTGTCACAAAATTTAGCCTGGACCTTAAACCTAATTACTTCTCAAGATGAGAATTTATTTACTTTCTACCTCTCTCAAATTTGAGGGATATATGCTCAAGCTTATTAGAGTAAAACACTAAAAAATCTACAACAGAAACAAAAGCAACATGCTCAAAACTCTTTCCAAGTCTCTGTCAGGTGTTATAAAAATAATAAGAAGAAAGCAAAACAAAAATCCTCACTCATTTATTTTTCCATTTTGAGGCCATTAGCAAAATACTTTTTTCTTCCTTTAAAAACAAGTAAAGTTAAACTAATTAGGATTCAAGCTCCAAAAATAAGTGGCAGGGGAACAGTTCGACTATCAGTTTTCTTTTCAATTTAATAATTGTAATTTAACTAATTACAGCTAGTTGGGTAAAATATCTTTTTAGATAAAATATATTTTTGAGGTGCACAAGCCCATCACATTTTAAAATAATGATTACTTTAACAAAATGTTATATGCCTTATTTTTAATTCTGGTAAAAAAAAAAAAGTCAACAACCCTAGCATCTCAGCAGCTGTATTATAGGTGAATTAACCTGAAATAATTGATGTAAATGAAAATATCTGTAGATTCACAGTTACGGTGGAGTCAAACATCAGACAAAATCAGATTTTAATCATTCTTTTATTATTTGTTATCTGTGTTTCTAATAAATACCCTTCATGCTTTATGTTTAGATTAGTCTCACTGACTACACCTCAGACTAATTTTCACTTTTTTGTTATAATATGAAAAATGCTGAAAGCACATTTTGAGATCTGAGTTAAAATAGAGGCTGACTCAGTTCCAGTGGGCTCGTCTGCGGAGGGTTTTATTGGCGTTGCTGAGGTTGTCTGTCATCTTGTTTATTAAAAACAACAACAATAATAAAAACAAATTCTGGAGGCACTGAAGTGGCCCACTAACTTTCCTCAACTTGTTTACCCAAAAGTTCTTTGTTCACAATGCCATCATTATGGCAGTTTGTGTAAAGTAAGATTTAATTTGAGAGTATTTATAGAATACTGTGAAACTTCTCTCTCCTTCTAACTCTTGTGCCCTGCAAAATCTCAGTTTCAAGACAGAGACCCAAAGCTTGTGTTCAGAAGCTGAAACAGGGTCTCAGGAGGAGGGTTCCTCTTTAGGAATTAGAAGCAAGCAACTGAATGCCTATGAGCCGTGGTTAACTTTAAAAATATTAGCAATTTGGAAAAGCCCCTTTCCTTTCTGGAAGAATGTTCCAGGCATGCAGCATTCCCAGCAACACTGGTTTCCAGTTATGTAGAAACTCTCTGAGATACAAAGTTACCTTAGGGGTCTTTGCTGTGCTTTTGATATGGGGCTAATTGTTATAGATGGAATTTTAGTTCTTCCGAGAAGGGATCTATCTGCCTGGTATTTGAAGCTGCTGTTCAAAACCTGAGCTGCCTTATTTTTCTCAGTTGTAAGATGGGTCACACACTTCCCTCAGTGGGATGTTTCAAGGACCACACTGATTGCAGTGTGGTTACCTGAAGTGCTCATGCTGATGCTAACCCAGGAGAGCCTGGCTGTGCATGTTTTTCTCTTTACTCTTCTTCCCTGAAAATCATAGCTTTATGTGTATTCCTATGTAATTTATTGTACAAAACATATAAAACAAGTCAATAAAGTTATTTATGCTAGCACTGAATTTCTTTCTGCCTTCACTTGCATAGAACATTGGCATAAAAGCAGTTGTTTTTGCTAATTGCCTGTGGTATTTGAGTTTGAGTGTTTGGATTTGATTGCATTTTTTTATTTTGTTTTAGAAATGGGAAGTTATCTGAAACATGGTGAGTGGGAATATCTATAATTTGGTGCAGGAATGGGGAAGGAAACCTAAGTGTTAAACACTTTGTCAGATATTTTTGTTATATAATTGATCTAGTCTCTGGAATTATTGAACCAAATTCTCCTTCCTTTTCTTGTTATTGACTCAAAGGATAGATTCCCCTGCCTCACCAATGTTGGGACTTGGGACAATGTTAACAGAACTCCTGAAGGGAAGGATTCTGGAATCTAGACTTTGTGTAAATGTACAACATTATGGGTACTCAAGAGGTGTTAATAAATACCTCTTCCTATTGTCCAGAGAAAATGAGGTTGCCTTGGCAATTTAGGTGTGAAATGTAATGACCAATGGAAGGAACTTGTACTTAAACAGAATGTGTTTTAAAGGGTAGAAGAGGAATCAGGGCATGGAGTGAAATTATATCAATTTTCATAGCAAATTCTTCTTCTCTTCGATTGTAAGAACTGTCATCCCCCTAAACTTGTGAGCTTCCTGTATCCTTGTCATACGCCTGCTGGGCAGTCCTGGCCATGCATTGCTGTGCACACAGTAAGATTTCAACAGATCTTGTTGATTAAAACCAAAAGCTTGAAAATTCTGGAGGCAGGATTGCACAAAGGTTGAAAGGAAGGCTGCGGAAAGGGAGGAAGAGAAGCAGTCAAGGCAGAGAGAATTAAATATAGAAACTGCCTGGGGAGCCAGAAAACACCAGGGTTGGGGAGCAACTAACAGTTTAAATTCTCCTGAGAACAGAAAAAAAACTGGGCAGAAGAGAAATTTTAATTCAAAGAGTTAATTAACCAATTTAGAAGACCTCCAAATTTTTCCTCTCATTAGAGTTATAATTTTGAGGCTTTAAATAAATAGTGGAAGTTACTCTAATTTGTCCTATGAATCTGTTTAAATTTTGATTTGATTGATAGTGGAGGTTTAAGGAGGGAAATGTAATAAGCTGTAGTTTATAAGTTCATAAAGTGTTTTTACTCCTAAGCAGGCTTGTTGCAATGGAGAAGGAGAGGAAAAAAACACAGGAAACTACTTCTGGTTTCAGTGGATATGCTGCTTTTATTACTTTTTAAAGTTGAATTATGTGGCAAAAATCAAACAAGAAAACCCAACCACACAATCAGAGCAGGCTAAAGTATCACAAACAATAATGCAAAGAATGCCTCTAAAAAAGGGAGTAGGATTTTTAAAAAGTATAGTGGGTGTCTGCTGCTGAATGAAGACAAACGTTATCAGTGGCAATTGTAATGCAAGGGTCACTTAAAAATAGTTAATAAGCATAGATTCTTCTCAGGCAAGTTGACTGCGTTGAAGGGAGAGCCCAGTGACCTTTGTCCTGAATTCTAATAATTCACTGAAGTTTTACACTAAGTCAGAATATAATTGAGAAGAAAATTAGAGCTTCTTTGTGAAGAGTGCAGAGTGATGCTATTTATTGCATGTATGAAAGCATTCCAGAGGTTGTATTTTCCTGTTCTATTTTGATTTAGAAAATTAAAGCTATAATAATTTGCTGCTATCTGAAAGAAGGAAAATGTACTAGTGAAATATATTCATCTAACTTAAAATGTCAAAGCCGTTGGCCATCCTTTTACGTCTGGTAATGACAAACTGTCAATTTCACTGTATTATTCAGAAATTTACTAGCAGCTTGTTGCAGACATCAGAGTAGACAAATCTTTTATGATACACGTGGTCTGAAGAGAGAAGCAGGTTAGTGGGTTTTTCTTTTTGTTTTATATTTCCTTCTTTCACTTTACTGTTCATAAAACCTAATATTTAAGATGGCCACTTTTTTTCTTAACGAGGAGATGGCTAATAACATTAAATGAACCACAGTAAAATAAGAAATTAATGGTGTTTATGAATTATTTTTAGATACCTAGATTTTTTTTCAGACACAATATTGTCAAGTAAAAACATAGAGCTGAACTTTCATGAAAAAATGTTGATCCCCAAATATATAAACACATGTGCATTTCACAGAACTTGGAAGGGTTAAGTTCAGGCACTGTAATATTACAGGAAGTGATTTTCTGCTTTATCTAGTACCTTGAGTTTGTTATGTATTCAATATGTAGTGTCATCATAAAACATTTGCACCTGCGTTAGCCTTCATTGTCTCTAGGTACAAGCTGAAAAATAAGGAAAAGCCAAGCTGGAGAAATGAATATTTCTACTAATACGATGTCAGTACTTTTCCTTTACCCATGGACATTCTTGATTTCAGAAGCAAACTGCACAAGCCAGGGCACTGGGGTTGGAATCCAGTGTTTATTCAAAAAGGCACCCTAAGGCAGTTAGGGAGGAAAAGCTGCGTGTATGGGAACAGGCAGCTGAGACTGAGCTGTTCTGGGCACCACAGCAGCGACAGTACTTACTAACATTTGTTTTCTGTGGGTCTATGAGAGAAATGGAAATAACTCGAAGGGACCCGAAAGGATGGGGTTTGGTGGCTTGCTCTCCTTATTTGGAGCACCGCAAGCTGCAATCACAGTTCTGAAGCTAGTAGTCCCTACAGCCAGTTTCTGGGTGGAGGAGTTTGTTTATACCTTAACAAATCCAGGCTGTTTTGTTGATTAAACAAGCAAAAAATGCCTCATTCGCTGCTTTCCAACACTCCCTCAATTAGAAACTGTCTCATAAAAACGCATCGTGTGATAAGCTCTTGCCTTGGTCCCAAACTGAGCCAGGGTCCCCTTGCAGATCTCCCAGTCCTTAGGGAATACACATTTTAGCCAAGAGTCTAGTTACTCTGTCACAAAACAAGGAGCTTTGCCACTTGCTTGTTTTGGAAGAAAAATAAATTAAAAAAAGATTGCAGGGGATTTTGGTTATTATATGGCCAGGGCTCTGTTTAGAGTCTGTGGCATTCAGAGCTGGCTTTAATCACAGCTTGATACTCGAAGGCTCCCAAAGTCCAAGTGTTTCCTTTCTTTTCTTTCTTTCCCTTTTTTTTTTTTTTTTTTTTTTTTTTGCGTTACTTCACTGAGGCAGAGGGCTGCCTCAAGTGACGTCAGGAGTTTGAGCAGCAAGCTGCACAGGGGAAGGGAGGCTGGGTGAGTGACGGCCCAGCCTACTTTTTAATAGCTTTGTCATGTGACTGGAGACTGTAGTAAGACAGGTGCCTTTAGTTCACTCTCAGTAAGCTGGTTGCCTGCATGAGTGTGCTCTCTGTGTCACTGTGGAGGAGTTGAAAAAGCTTGACTGGCGTCATTCAAGAGCTGGATGGCGTGGGACATGTGCAGCCAGGACTCTGTATGGAGTGATATCGAGGTGAGCTGGGGCTGGGCTCGGCACTGCAGCCAGGACCAAGCTTCCCACAGATGCAATTATCCCGGGGGGAGGGAGGGGGGGATGGGATTGGGCTAACCGGGGCAGGAGCTTTGGGAAGGGAACCTCAATCTTATCTTAACTCCATAAGTTTGCTATTTTAAGGTGGCCCCGAGATGCCTTAAGCAAATCAAAGCATAGCTGCTGTCATCAGTATCTGTTGCAGTTAGAAACTCTTTCCATGTGCCTTTGGCTCTGTTTCCATTCGTATGCAATATTTATGCTCTAAGATATTGATATGAATCAGAAGCTGAAGTCTTTCCAGTGGTGTTTAGTAGCCTGGTTGGAAAAATTCCATTTCTATTTATAAGGAAATGAAGACAAAAATATTAAAATGGGATGTGTTTAAACGCAGTCCGTTTTGATTCTAGTTCTGATCCCCACCCCCCCTCAACCCCGTTCATCAGTCAGAGAACTTACAAAATCCTAAATAATCCGGATGGGCTATGTTAGATTGCATTTCCCACAGAACGCGAAACAAAGATGCTGCTTCTTTTAAAACTCTTATATGTACGTGGCTGAAAGATTTGGCCAGCGAATTAGGAAAAATAAATAAATAAAGGCTTCCAGTGCGAGGCTTCCCTGTGCGCGGGGGCAGGGAAGCCAATGGTTAAATGTCCCTGTACCACGGAGAGCTGCCTGAAGCCCGGGAGAGAACAGAGTTTATGCAGGACTGTGTGTGGGGCTGCTCGCTGCTTGTGTAAAAATAGACGGCAATACATCAATTCCACAGTCTCTGCTGGCTACAATTCATACAGAAGGGAAAAAGCGTAAGCGGTTTCCTCGTAATCTCTCGAGTCCCTGGAGTCTCGCTGGGGGACAGAGGACCGGGCGTGTTTGCATTCAGCACAATGGAATGTGCTCAGAAAGTTTGGGCAACTTGGGAAACAAGCGAAACTTTCCGCGGACTCTGCTCAGATGGGGCCGAATTGAATTGCGCGGAGAATCCGAGCTGCTAACAATGAATCTGGCGAAAGACTGCGAGTGTTTCCTCTGGGGTAGCTGGGGGCACGTAGGGTAAGGGGGAGGGTCCAGTGCCACACGTGATTGGATTAAATAAGATGTCCATGCGGGGCAGCGATACACATCTAAAGTGAAAATAATTTGGCCCAGGCTGTCCGCAAATGCATTTTTCATATCTAGCCAGGCATGCCCTGGATTCTTAACTCTTTGCTGTGTTTGCAAATGTTGGCTCCATTGCCGTCCCTTGCCTTAGCAGATGGTATTTGTGGCTTGTAATTGTTCTTATCTTGTGATTTCTTGCTAAGGTGTACTAGATATGGATAATTCATATGTCCTGGAGCTATTAAGCGTCAGGGTTCTGCGTGGCTTCAAAGTCCTAATTGTTTGAGTAGCTGGAGTGTCCTGTGGGTGGTTGCCTGGCTTGCAGAGTGGGTCTCAGCTGCTGTAGTTTCATTTTTCCATCATGTATAATTCCTGATGCCGCTAGTGGATTCAAGAACCAGATCATATGGAAATCAGGAAGATTTACTTTAATCATCAGAATTCCCACAGTCGTGTTCACATAAGTGTCAGAGCCATTTTGAACAGTGGCCTTTTAAATTTCTTTCCTTCAAGAGAAGAGGTCTTGGGCTCATTGTCCAGCAGTGGACTGAGGTCTGCAGGGACTGGCCAGTTGCTGCTGCTTCACTGTGAGCAGCCAGCTGCCAGCAGCCTTCGTGGCAGCGGCTCAGGGAATCACCTCGCCAGTCTGAAATATTACGAGCAGCAGGTAGCCCAGGCAGCTTTCATTTTTTGAATCATTAATGTTTGCTGTCATCCTAAAACGTATTATGCCCTTTTGCACATAATGACAGGACAGCACAGTGCTTAATAAGGGCCTGTATCACTAAGCCACTGAGGATCCCCGATGTTTCACAGTTTAATGAAGGTGATGTACAATAAGGTTACTAAGATTGATAGAGACAATTCACATGACATACACTCCACAGAGACTGTCAACACACTGGCCCTCTCATTGCTTCCTTCCCTCTGTCTTAACTTATTTTTTAAGAAGTTAAAGTTCTTTTTTTTTTCATTAATATAATTAATGTGACCAAGTCCACTCTTTTTTTTTCTCTCCCTTTAAAATTTACCATCAATAGTACCAAAACCTCCAAAAGGTTAATGGAGAATTATACTTAATTATAATGATTCATTATCATCAGTGCAGTTAAGCTAATTTATTGTCTTCTCCTTAACTAAGAGAAAAGTCTGTTGAGGTGAAATAGCGTACAATAATTAGCCTTTTGTGTTTAGTAACTGCTTTATTGTCTTAAATCTTATTATGAAATTAAGGCTACAGTTGTGGGACTACTGTCACAGTTGCAAAGGGGCTGTAGAATGTGTCTCTGTGACTGTGATAAAGCCCACCTGTTACAGATGTGTAGGGAGGCTGTAAATATCAGAGTGTCACAAGGACAGGTACAGGGCTTGGACTGTTAAGTCTGGCATCATTCACAGGCCAAATATAAATTAATAACAGGAACACTTATTACTACTAATGTGTTTTAGATTAGCAGAATAATGCCACATTCAGGAGCACTGATTTTATTTATGTTGACATTGGAAAGAACACAGACACCTTTTTGAACCACAATGTAAAAGCAAAAATTAGGGAGATAAGGAAGGAGAGAGGGAGAAAGAAAGAAAAGAGAAATAGAGATACTTTATAGGGCAATGAAAATATAACAAATTGACAAATTGATCAGGTTTTGTTTTAAACATTTTTCAGAAGTTGCTTATAAATACATATTTTCAGAAGTGAGACGGTTTGTAACAGGTCATGCCTGAAGAGGGCAGTTACCGAGAAGTGGCCTACCAGTGCATCTGTCAATCAGTGTGACACTCCAGTGTTCTTAAAACGTGCTTCCTGTGCATTGCAACAGGAGCGTGAGCCAGAGGAAGACAGCCCATGTTTTCCAGCTTGCATTTCTTTTTGATGCTGTTTTCTTTTTTGTTTTATTCTTCTTTAAAAGGACTGCCCCTCCCACTCCAGCCCAAACAGTGAGAATCTAATGGTTTTTTGTTTGGTTGGTTTGGTTTTTTTTGTTTGTTTGTTTTGTTTTTGTTTTTGTTTTTGTTTTTTTTCACTGTTAATAAAGTTCCTGTCTTGTCTTTGAATTGATGTTGTTGGATACAAGTTAATTCCATTTGTGGTGCCGGGGAACAAGTGGTGTGGGTGAGAATGGAACCCAGGAAGGGTGACACCCATAACACAACTTGAACATTGTACCAGGACAAGAGCTGCTTTTCAGCCAAGCCTCAACTTACTTATAAACCTGGTCAAGTATAGCGATCTGTAACTTTGAGCTGACTCAGATAATAAAAAAGAAAAGACTAATAAAGTGATCAGAAAGGAGTCACAGCAGAGAAGAGTACCCTTTCTCTGCACTGCCTGGCGCCCACTTCCAGGGACTCTCTTGGGCCTGGGTGGTCTCAGAAAAGAACTGCAGTATTTTGTAGGCTCCTCCCCTCTCCTCTCACCGACTGCTGACTCCATTCCCCAGTACCTACTTCTCAGCGTGTGGCTTATGATCACACTGCAGCATATGACCTGGGTAATGTAGCCTGCCAGGGATGACAGGGGTGCTTGAGAAAAAAATCTGCATGAAACTTACTTTATTAAAGATCTAAATGTCAAGGGAGCTCTTCAGCTTCACAGCTGCCTGGATGTGCATAGCATCTCTTCTAACCTTGGAAAGGAGAGACATGAGGGTCCCACGTCTGAGTGTGAGCCCCTCGAGTCAGATAGCTTGGCTTGCAGGTGGATGAGATTCCTATGGCCCTGACACCATCGGATGCCTGCAGTAGGACTGTCCGCGGGCCTCCTTACAGTGTGCTGACTGGAATCAATAGCTAGATGGCCAGTGCAAGTTTTGGAGACCACTTCATTGGTAAGGGGTCTACTGTACTGGAGAGCAACAAGGCGGGACAGTTAAAAGAATATATACCTCATGTCACAAGTGAAGAAATATGTCTATCTCAACTAGCGTTGGGGATAGTCTGCTCCTACCAAAGGATATTTTACATCTTTTAATCTACTGAAATCATTTTATAACTCTAAACAAAAATAATAATTCTGAATTCAGTTGAAGTATAATTTAAATAGTTTCCCTAAATAATGATCAAAATGTAATTGTGGTGTGCCATTGTGGTTTCTCTTCTCCAGGTTTAGGTGATCCTGACACCACCACCACCCCCCCCACACGAAACTTGCAAGTTACTCATAGTGAAAACTATAAAGGCCACATAAGAAAAATAGTAATTTTTGTTCTTCATCTTGAGGAATTTGGTTTTGACCTGTTAGGGATGAAGTCTAGAAGCTCATAAAAAGTCAAATGAGAGTAAACAATTTAAATAATTCAAGAGAACTATAGATGATTCAAAGGACTTGCGTCATTAGTTGCTAAATGAATCATATGGATTATAATACTTAAAAGGAGTATAAATGGAGAAAGTTTCTTAGTACAGTTCTTGTACTTATTTTTCATTTGGCAGGTTTTTATTGAGTGTCTAATGGGTGTGAGCCCATTTCCAAGGTAAAATAAAGCTCCGATCCTTCTCTCAAAGGTATATTGCTAAGGATGGAGTAAAATTTTGTGACAGTTAAATGTAAGATAATTTGAGACTTGCAAAGTACTACCTATCCAAGAGATACAAACAAATTCTGATAATTTCTAACTGAGAGAAGGCTTTCTGTGAGTATGGAACTTATCATCAATCTGGCAGTAAACTGTGGATGAATCAGTCAAAGTGCCCTTTGGGAGCCAAGAGAGAAAAAGAATCCAAGGTGCTTTCCCGAGGGATTAAAGCCCCCTCGGACAGAGTTGGTGGTGTTGCTGAATTCACCAGACTTAATTCCTTTCACATGCTATTGCAGTTTAATAAATTCTTGCAGTTAATGAAAGCCTTTCCCCTCCTTTTCTGCCTCCTGCAGTGTGCTGCTCTGGTTGGTGAAGACCAGCCTCTTTGCCCAGATCTTCCTGAACTTGATCTTTCTGAACTAGATGTGAACGACTTGGACACAGATAGCTTTCTGGGTGGACTCAAGTGGTGCAGTGACCAATCAGAAATCATATCCAACCAGTACAACAATGAGCCTTCAAACATATTTGAGGTAAGGACTTCCTTTGGGAAAATTAATTTCTCATTGACCTTGGTCTGGGCCAGACTAACGTGGTAATAGACCTAAAAAAATAGTGGTTTCATTCTGCTGTCACTGAAAGATTTTCATCACACAGACTTTCCATTTTATGGAAAAACAATATTTGGAAAACAAATGGATTTTTTTTTTTTTTTTTTTTTTAGAGTGAAGGGGCTGAGTTGGCAACAGAGTGCATTAAACTGTGTTGAAATACAACAGGTTGTGAAAGAATTAGTGACACAGAAGAAGAAATGCTTATACATGTTTATTCGTATTTCCCACAGAAAGAAATTTAGCAGTAAACACTGCTTAATATAATTAATATTATAAGAAGGCATCATTTTTTAACCAAGAGTTACATGTCTATCTGTATTTCTTTTACCAATTTTGATTTTGGGTGTTATATTTTTGGTTCACATCTCTAATTTTTTTGTATAGTGGAAACTTCTACACTCATCGAATCTAATATATGTTTATAAATTAGTCAAAATCCATTTACCTTTCAGTAATGAGAATTACCTCCCAGTCGCTAGATTCTGATTATAAGTCTACCCTATAACAAAGAATGTTAATCTACGGACAGGCTCTTTCTTACAAGATCAGCATTCATTTACTTGGAAATAAGTTGTTTCATATAGTGATGAACATTTAGTGAGTACTCTAACAAGTGAATTGAATAAAAATTGCTGAATCAAGGGATTTTCAGTATCACTGCTATCAGCACCACCACCATCATTTTAATTTTTCTGAGCACCTACTGTGTGTTAGGCCCCGTTGCCTATTATTCTTCAGTGAAAACATTTACTGATTATTTTCTTTCTTCTTCTTTTTTTTTTTTTTTTGTCTTTTTTTTGTTTTTATCGGTACCAGGGATCGAACTCACAACCGCACACTTGCAAGGAAGGTGCTTATGCCACTGAGCTAAATCCCCAGTCCCTTATTTACTGGTTGTTTTCAGTATTATTTTAGCAAAATCCTGACTCTTGCAGAAGCCAGTATCATAGTAATAACTGAGCTTTTCCACTACCTAGGACATGGAAGGCACTGAATAACTGTTAGATAATGAACAAAAGATGGTTATAATAATATTGAAAACAATAATAACAACAACAACAATGACCAACATTTGGAGGTGCTTCCACTTTCTGTATGTCACCATAAGAATTTCTCTATTGTATAAATACTATGATTATTATCAACTCCACTTTACAAATACAGAAGATACTAAATCTCAGAGACTAAGTGATTTTCCCCCCATTGTATGCTGATAAGACCTGACATTTTAATTGTGAACTTATCTGAGACCAAAGTCTACATCATGGATAAAGGTAGCCCACAAAGGAATCATTAAGTTTGGGTGGGAGCCATCCTTTACAAAGATGTATCAATCTGCTTCTGTGCTCCATATTTGAATTTTAAAATAAAACAGAATCTTTCCTTTCAGTGTTGGTTGACATGGAAGCATGGATAGCTGGTTATCCAAAGCAAACTGTTCTTCTCATGGCTGAGGGTTTATGATACATCTGAAGTGCAAAGTGGGTTTAAAACGAATGCTTGCAGCAGGGTAATTGAGCTGGGCTCTTGTAGAAGGTGAAGGAAACACCAAAGATTTGTGGTTAGTTCAGCTTTCCCAGGCTTTTCTGCCAGGTCTTAGAAAGTTCATGTGAGGACTTGGCTGGTTAGAACTGGTAAATTGAACATTCCTCATTCAGTACACTTGTCAGGTTACAGGGTCAATTCTAAGTCATGCAGCATTAAATAAACAGAACTTTACAAAACATCCATCTCTATAGATTCCTTATCTAATCACCTGCTTTTCCGTAGCAGGTGAATGTCATGCATTTTGTACATGATGATTGCAGGATAACTAAAAGGTGTCTTGCGGGTGTGTAAGAGGTAACATGATAGCCAATGGTTCCCTGGTGGGCTAGTTTTTAAAAGAGTGAGGTTCCCTGTGACCTTATGTCCCCATATTTTGCACTGTGCTATCTGCATGGGGTACTTCCCATTTATATCACCAGGAGACTTGGCTCAGCCCCTAGTTAGTTATCTATATATAGACGCATAATCTATGCAGTGACACTCATTTTGTTTCCCTATATAACTTTCTACCAGTGATAGAGTTGTCTTCAGTGTTCTAAAACACAAGGTCCATTTAATTTAATCTCTCATTAGGTCATTTTAAAATAGTTATTCTCAACCAAAGGTAATTTTACCCCCCAGGGGACACGATGGTCTGGAAGTATGTTCCCTTACTGTGGCAAAGCAATGCTGTGGCGTGTAATGGGTAGAGACTAGGGATTGTGATGAACATCCTGCTATGCACAGGGCAGCTCACCACCACAAGGAACTATCTGATTTCAAGTGAAAGTGTTTTGTTTCAGAAACTCTTTTTGTTTGTTTGTTTGTTTAAAGCTAAAATTATCCTTTATGAAGTATAAAAGATGAGACGGTCAGATTGCTGAGACAAACACAGTGGAAGTCTGAATATAAAAAATGAGAATCCATGTAAAATTATTGAGATGCTCAGGACTTCAGGACTAAATCATTAGCTTTTCTCTTAGTGACAGAGAGCAAGAGTAACTGTTTAGATAAGGCCCCACCCCCCTTCCCCCTCTCTCTCTCTCTGTCTCTATCTCTGATGTCACAGATCCCATTCTTCTCTGTCTATGCAAAGGGTAAGGTCAGATGTGGCAATGCTGTTCCAAACAGCAGCAGTATCCTGGGCATTTGCATAGTATTATGACACCTCTACTCTTTGCCCTCTAGTGTTTCACTCAGATGTCTCTTCCATAATGGGAAAGCAAAGTATGTTTTGAGCACAAATGAAATTCTAAAATTGGGTCCTCCTTGGCAAAGAAGTCCATATGCTATGAAATAACCTTTGAATGGCCACAGCTTTGTGTTGCCTCTACCAAGGCAGCATTTCCCAGGAGTCGTTTCCCAGGGCCAATGTGTCACGTGGACTTTTCACCTGTGCTCACCTTCTCCTGATTCTCAAAGCCCTGTCTCATCACATTTGAGGAGGTCTTGTACCTGAGCAAGCTAAACAGTCACGGCTCTGCCTTTGCTGACCTCCCAGTAATAAGTGTTATCTACCTCTGGTTGCTCAGAATGAAACAAGGCACTGGGCAGTTAAACACCTTTCCCTGACTCAAGTGGCACCTTGAGGACACTGCAGGAAATTTGCCACGGGGTTTCTGAATTCTAATCAAAGCAAAGAGATTTATGGATATGTAATATACAGAAGAATACAAGATAATCGAAAGTACTACTCAGAAGTCTCTTCCTTTTGCTTCTAACATATATTTGAGTCTTAAGTTTAATTTTATTTGAATCCATAAGTTAAAATAAATAACAGTAACAAAAAGAATGAAGCCAAATATCACGACTTGGGAAAGTGTGAATTTTGAGCAGGGTGAAGCTGCACTAACATGCAATTGCACATGTTGGTTGAGTGACTAGACACACAGACAGCCTCCACTTGCACAACCTGTGTTTGGATATGTGAATGCAAGTGACCACATATAATTCAGAAACCACTTTGAAAAACACAGCCCAAGACCTATAGGTGCAGCCTCCGGGGAATCTGACCCATGCTTAAGGAAAACAGGATACTGTCCCTGGACTGGCTGGTGGCAAGATTGATGTTTCAGAATATTGCAACATAACTTCCTTCCTCCTGTTTCCTTTGTGCATTGTATGAAAGAGGAGAATAAAGAGCTGCTTTTACAGCACGGCCCTGTGTAAAGATGGGTGGCATGGGGTTCATTTAAACAGCCCACAGGCCTTTCTGGGTCACTGCAGGCCATCTTGTCCCTGCTTTATTTAACACCTGTTTTAATGTTTCCACGATACAGTGAGATGGGCATCTTTCATTCATTCGCCTGCTACTTCTGAAAGTAGCTCCTTGGGTTCCGCAGGGCAGCGGCGGGTGAGAAAATACTGTGTCATTAAGTAAGACATGCTCTGCAACTGGTCTTGCCTAGTGGGGAGAGGACTCAGCTACAGATGGCATTCCTATTAGGTAATTCCTGGAGCTCTCAGGTCTGAAAGTGGGAACTTCTGTAAGAAAAGGCGATGTGTGGTGATTCCATGGTATCTGCGTGTGCAGGAAATAATGGCAGAAGTTTTCAAGAATGCTTCATCACCATTGGGAATACAGTTGATTGAAAATCTCTTCTGGCTCTCAGTTATGTTTTAAATTTTTCAAGAATGAACATGTGTTATATACCAATCAAACAGTCCGAATATAACCAATTTAGGAAATTCAACAAACCATGAATATTTTGAAAATAGGGAATTTGTCTGTCCTATTCACTGAAGTTTTTCTAGACATTTGCTTAGAAAACAGTAGACAGTACCTACAAACACAAAAAGAGGTCTGCATTCTATTTATTTTACAAATTACAAATTAATTGACACCTAGTTCAGGAAGCACAGGGAAGAAATATAAAACAAGTAACAAACAATGTAAAACTGTATATATACATTTATGTATGTATATGTATGTTTTTACATGAGTAATTGGTAAATAATGCAAAATTATACTTTCATGTATGCATGTATATGTATGTGTACACACATAAAGTTACACATATCTATATACTAGCAATTGACAAATATTGCAAGAGGCTGTTTGTATTTGCACACATGTATGTATGTGTTCATATGTGTGGGTGCCTGACTAAGAGCAGAAAGAGCAAGAATGAATTCACTGATGCTGGGAAGAGAATAGCATTGAGAGTTTCTTATAGAGAGTGTAGAGGTCAGGAGCTCCGATTTTTCAGTCAAATACATCTGAATGAGAACACAAGCATAAGGAAAGAACCTTTGGTTCCAAGGTAAGTGTGAAGTTCTGTTTGCCAGGAGATCCCAGTTGGGAGTATTTAGTTTCCATGGCAGATATTAGTGCATCTTTGCAGATGTTTAGCAGGAGAGAAATGCAATGGAGGTGGTTTTTAGGAGTGATG